GAAGAGGAGGAAGATATGGAGAAGCAGGAGGAGGAGAAGGGGGAAGAGGGGGAGGTTGTTCCTAACAACAACAAGCTTCAGAATAAGAAAGCGTTCTCAAGAAGAAGATAACACAAAACATGCTATAAACAATATATATTTTCCAAGAAAAAAAGGCATCCCTGTGCAGCATTGTTTGATCACTCACATGCAAATTACTCGGGCCAGGGCTGGAGAAGATCTTGGAGCTTATGGCCAACACTGCCAGGACAGCCGCAGTCTGTGGGACTTTCCGGCACGGGATCAGGCACTTGACAAGCTTGGTGCGGATCCCCTGAGCTGCAGAGAGAAAGAGACAGGAAAATACTCGGTAGGAGGGGAGTTAAGAAAGACTTTGGAAAAAAGACAAAACAAAAATTTGGCAGGACAAAGACTGGTGGGCAAGTCTGAGATGGTAATCCAAGTGTGACAACTGCTGCTAAATGGCTACATTTCTAATACTTAGAGGCTATTCCCAAACGAAATTTTTAAAAATAGAGAGAAAAAAGGGGCCAAGAATGAGTAATGTTGTCCTTTGTTGAAAGGTGCCAACTGTTCACAAAAGAAAATTCAGAGATTTTCAGACTTGTGGAAACATGTGGTGACAAAAAGAAAACAAAATGGTCTTGTATGTACAAGTACAACAAAAGAATTATCAAGTCATTCTAACATACTCATACTGTAAAAAGTATATATTCTGAACTCTATAATTCACCACTGTTGTTCGCCCAGCTTTGAGACTGAGTATGTTTCCTTATGATTAAAAAATCCTGAAGAAGAAGAAGAAGAAGAAGGAGGAGGAGAAGGAGGAGAAAGAGAAGAAGAAGAACAAGAAGAAGACATGAATCGTCAGTTAAGTAGAACTCATCACGACTTCATGTAGTAAAAAAGTGTATAATATAATAAAATGCCAGATACAGTAAGACTTACACAGCTTATGGTGTGGGTTGATGATGACCTTCATTAGATCATTGATGTGTTCTGAGCTCAGGCCATGCGACATTGAGTGTTTGATGATATTCTCCAGGGACAACTGAAGTTTCACATTACCACGCAGGTTGTCTTCTTTTTTCACTGGAGACACACACAAAATGAAGGCAATGAACATTTAGATCCAAAAAGAAATGCAGTAGAATCAGTCTAAACTGAAATCTGTGGGGCCGCTGGATTTTCATCGGTTTAGCCGAGTTTTGAGTTTAGAAAGTTTGCTCAAATGAAAGAAAGAACATTCTGATATTTTATTTTATTTCCATTTACCGCTCTGTTTTCAGTTTAACTATTCGATTCAAGTGGATTCCACTGTATAAAACGACAAAAGTTCATGTTTTTCCAACCAAAAGAATGGCCAAATAAAGAGTGTAAAATGAAAAGTGTATGGGTTTGACAATTTGCACCCCCCC